TATATATATATACTTGGTATCCCATCTTAAAAGAACCATTTAAATTTCTGTTTAGAAAAACGTTTTAAAGAAAAACGTTTTAAACAAAAGTTGCAGGGTTCAGAGAGGTACATCCAATGGTGACCTTATCTTTATAGAGGTATTTTTTTCAAGGTTATTTGAAGGTTAACTTCTGTTTTTTTTAAGTGGAATGGCCTATTTTTAATAGGCTATTTCACTTAAAAAATCGGAAATCGATACAAAAGGAAATTTTATGTTAAAAACATATAGCAAAATGTGGGGTCAAATTGGTCTCAAAGGATCACTTCAAGATCAGAAAATATTTTATTCCAGAAATGAATAAAGCATATTCGAGCAGTTTGATATTCAATTATATTTCATATCATGTAATCAAGCTGACTCCAGAAGTCATTGTCAACTTGATTTTTTTCTAAATAAAATCTCATTTATGAGTACCTTTGCCTTTCGCGATCTTGGGTGTTTGTTTAATATGAATTTTCTTCCTTCTCACGATTTTTAGGTGCTCCTATATTATCTAAGTAAATGTTCAAATATCTGCTCATTATTGTCTAGGCATACGAGGTCTGATTATTAAATAACGAGACTGCGCGCGCAGAAGTCGTACTAGAGGGTTAAGGGGGAAACGAATGCAGCGTTGGATAGGTGGAAGTGTCTACTATTCCAGTACGAAAACTCACTTTTGTCGCCGAAGTAGTATTTTTTCTATAGAGGTTAGAAACAAACGTGTTTTTTCTCGTGCCGATAACAATGTGTGACGAAAAACACGAGCAACGCATGTTTGTATTTAATCCACCCTCGTAGCAACGAGCGATGTTCAATTCCATGTTATTATCGACACCTGCGATCCAGTAGAACGTGAGCGGAATCTGCATTGGCTGTGGGGTTATCGTCACTACGTTCCTCATGGTATTGTCCGCGATGCGCATAACGTCTTTTATACTGCATATCAGTCGACTTACTCCATAATCCTTATGGAGATGGAATTGCATGATCGTGTAAAACATCTCCTTAGCAACTACTAAGCAGATTATGCCGTTTTGGTACATGCATCCGGAGATTAACGCATTCACTAAGACTATCTGAAGCAACCACGCCAAGACGCTATACACTCACCAAAATATCGGTAACGACGTATCGTCGGTAGTCATCGGCAGCAGATTGCCCGAAATCATGTTCAGTCGAACACAAAAGATTCACGCTTTGGAAGTCCATGGTCGCGTATTCAAAGTCTCTTCCACAGCTAATTGCTTGGTGTTCTGTATTTATCGCGATTTCACAATTCCTTCAACGTACTTGTATGTATTTCGCGCAAGAATGATTCTTTCTCATTCGCGGAAACCGTTTCTCCTATATATAATTTATAAGTGACTCTCGTGAATTATCATCTAGCTTTGCGCGCCGTTACGCGAGTGAGGACATGTCATCAAGTTCCTTTTGTTGAATTATTAAAAAATTAAGAGACACGATCATTGTAAAAGTTTTTTAGAATTTTCATATCATTAACGATTCAATATACGAGTATCTTATAGATAGATAATTTTGCTGTATGCGTCCTATCGTATGGATATGAGTTCATGAGTCGCGCACACCAGAAAGGATGACAAAAAAAGATCGAGTCGTTAAACGTAAGATTTTATTTTTTATTTTGCTTACCGAATGCAAATAGATGCTTTCATCAGTTTGCAATTATTTTATAATTATCCGTACGCTACAAAACTACGATTATATTATGGTTGACTTTGTTTGGCTCATAGAAATTTCAAATAGTTGCAGTGCAATCTATTTAAAACTTGCATACCCACAAAAAAGAAAGGAGTGATAAGCAAAGTTAGAAGGACTGATAGTATCTCCACAAAAATATCGTAGAAGGTTTATTCTCATAAACTAAGTATAACAACGTTTAAGTTTAATTTTTATTGATCGAATCTATTTGCTGCATGATAAGAGGCGAAATAAGACAGAAAGCTACGTTGTTGCAAATGTTCCAAGTCCTTTCTTAAATGGTCAGGAATAAGTTTATTTCTTTACAATTTTACCATAATCCATCCTCTACATACTGCACTTTAATATTGTTAATTTTAATAAAATTGTATTTACTATCGTTCGTACTGAAACTAAGTTGCGGACATTACGAAAATACAATTTCAGTTATCGCATTCCTTAATTTCTGTCTTAATAATAAGAATGATATTTACTATATAGAAAAGTGCATAACACGCATTTTTTAGGCACTTCTTATTATTTAAATAATCCTTAAAAGCAGAAGAGCTATCGAATAAGATTGGTTTAAAATCTAGGATATGCAAATTCGAAAATTTAGAAGAGTGTCAGTAAATACGAATATAAATCATAATACATCAGCTAAAAACAGCGCGTAAAAACTCACCGCCATGAACGAGGGCAGAGACAGATTAAATTTTTCAAATCGCGACAGTCTGCACTCTAAACGATTAGTCGTTATCAGCATTATAAATATACGTTTTATAAACGCTCCGTGTTTGTACCATTCTTCATGAAAAGCTTTGTTAGTTATTTCGATAGTCTATATTAAGTACACAATGAATGTTTTCAAATTAAATTTAGTACAAACAAAATTAGGTACTCAGTCAAAATAATAATTAATAAGATTAATATCCAAGGAAAAGAACTTACCGCATCTAACAACTGATGCACACAATAACACAATAGATAGAGTTGAACTGTGCCACCGCAGGCGTATATAACAACTCCTGCGCTTTCCACGAAGCTCGTGGATGATACCTGACATTTCATAAACACATATCGCTGATATACTATAATCGATAACAACAGAGTATAGATTGCGACATCGATCACAAGCGCCGCCTACCACTAAGGATTATTTAGTCTATATCTAAGGAGGATAATTGATGTTATAGATTTTACTTACTACTAATAACATGAAGGCAATAGAGCAGAAGCGAAAAACGTTGTTCACGTATATTAGGCTGAAGTTTAGCGATAGCAGCTCTTTCAACATAAGCGTCACGCTGAAACAGAACATATCGCGCGCGCATACATAGATTGCATTAAAGATAAAATCAAATAAATCAATATTTAAATAAATATTTTATTAAACTTCCAATTGTAGTTGAATTGATAAGAAACCTGTCTACTTGCGCATTACAGTAAATTATTTCATACACAACTTGTTCGTGATTTCTCGACACCGATTGAATTCTTTTCGAAAGATTTCCAAAATATTTTCTATCTTCATCAAGAATCACCAGACATTGTACTCACTAAAGCATGGCGTTGTGATGTCGACACAACGCTTTGATCTGCATTTTCGTGCACCGATCTACCTCAGAATATCGTTCTTTTCCGATAGGACCGTTGAGATTACTCTTTAGACATCCGTCTCGTATCACCAGTGACAGCTTCAACGCAATGTATCGATACTGCGCCGTTACTAGTAGTATCAGATGTATCATGTATGTGTCGGCGGCAATCTTCTTCGTAAAAATGTACGCGCTGCTAGTTGACACGATGAGGCTTCCCACCACAAAAACCCCGGTGGAGAACGGTTCTGTGCCGAAGGCGACCGGCATCTTATAATCCAAGTAAAAGAAGAGATCCTTCTGAAACATCAACACATACGGTGGGCTACACCACAAGATCACGGACCCCACGCCGGTCAACCAACAAAATTTGAGAGGCATATCCATCGACTTGAGGGTTGTTCTCACGATATTCCGCATTAGCTCATCGTCCAAGAACATGATGTCGTTTAGTTTCTTGATCAAGCGTTGTATCAGCCCCCTGCATGAGTGAAGTCGCACAACTACGAAAAACACCTCAAACGTGATTGCGACGCCAATCATGCCGTTTTTCACAGCGGTCTCCATTGGTACGAGAAAGCATCCGGGGATTAATATGCTCATTTGAATAATTTCCAGTAGCCATATTGCGATGCTATACATCTGCCAGTATATTGGAAACGACAAACCGTTAGCAGTCATCGGTAGCAGATTGCCTGAGATCTTGTTCAATCGATCATTGAGAGGATTTACACTTCGGAAGTCCATCGTGATCGCTCTTTTTTGCGTTCTGAAACGTTCTGCGGAAAAGAGCGCGTGGAAGTAGTACGATCCATTTACTCTCGACTGAAAGAGTTTGAGGACGCAAATTTATACTATACAGTCCGTCACTTTTACGCTACATATTTAACGTAAATTTCAATGGTCTAATTTTATGAGTTAATGAATTAATAATATTTTTAGAAGTCTTTATATTTTAAAACTCTTAATATAGATTTCCTAGTTCGAAATTTTAGTCATTTGGTAATTATTACCTATTTCCTAGATCTAAATTCTAATTAATATTCCTTATCAATGCGTTATTCGACTAGAGAATCATGTTTGATTATTAGTCAAACTTTCGAAAGCTTTTCAAATAACACATTAAGTTATACGAAACTTAATTTTACACATATTTTTAATCAAAAGAAATGCGACAGAATGAATTTCAACTCGAAGCTCAATGCATCTTTCTCATTATTTGTTTAATATGTTTTAATTTTGCCACATAATTCTAATTACTTTTTTATTTCATATAATTATGTGGAATCCTGACTAATACTAATATACCTATCCACACTAGGAAATGTCCTCAAAACTAAAACTGGAAACTTTTGTGATTCCCGTTTTTCTCATTGATACTGTTAATCTAATAGATCATCGGTATCAAATACCTATTTTATGATGAACAATGAAATATTGCCATATATAATAAGTATAAATTCATCGGGAATTACCTTTCGTAAATATTGATAATATTAGAATATTTTTATTTCAATCTAACATTTTTCAATTCAAGTTTAATTAGTTAAAAAAATTTTATTAGTTGCCGTCCTCCCGAAAGCTTGAACATACTACACAGCCAGTCTTAGCATAAAAAATTACCAGGATGTAGGAAAAACTTTATATTTGTATTTACCTCTATAAACGTTTCTCCGTCGCGTCTGCGTCTCTGTCGACAAGAACATGCGTGACTCGTGGATCTTGACCCGGAATTATCTCTCTTGCATTTGTACTTTTTCGTGATCTTTTTTGATACATTATTCTGTTGTGCGAGAAACCGGTGGACGTTTGTTTTGCTGCAATTAACGGTGGATGGCTAACAAACGAGCCTATCTTTAAGTTGCATCGTTCGTTTTATTTAGCATACAAACGTGTGTGACTACAAAGTTCTTTGAAATTAAGTAGTATTAAGCTATGAGGAAGTCATTATCTTATATTGTGTCGTTGATCGTGACGGCTTGATACTCGGTAAAGCCGCAGTGTCTAGCAATACTTGACGCGCGCAACATGATTATAATTTTATAGCGTGTTTTGATGTCCCATCCTATAAAACTATTTCAAAGCAGTTTTTATTATAATATACAAATTCACGGGCCGAGTAACATATCAATGTTTGCACATCATAGAATTATTCTTAAAGTGAGTATTATATTGCAAGAATAGATTTAATAATTTCCCCATGTACATACTATGTTTGTATTTGGAACACAAAACTGCCGATAACTGTTGCTAAAATTTTTAATTTGTTAGAAGCCTTCATCAATTCCTCACTGGTTATGTATATAATTATCTTTTTTTTATCAATTCTTTAACAACGTAATAAACTGCGTTCACCTGATTATTGAATTTTATTACTTATTCAAAAAGTATGTGCCGGTGTATCTATGACTACAATAATTAAAGAAGACGAACGTAAATATATTTGGTTTTACCTACACTTTTACCTCACTCTTAAGAAGAGAAGAACGACAGAGTATAAGTGATTCAGAATTTGGAAAGATATTACAGAATTTGCAAAACAAAGGTATTTAATGTTAATACGTATAATATCAATATTATTATATGTATAAATGTTCATTTGAGGAAATTTTTTTGTAATGCACAGTTATTATAACGCGCATTAAATATGTATATCGTCAAGTCTTACCGTCATAAATGAAGGAAGAGACAGATTAAAATTTTCATATGTCGTAAGCTTGAAATCTAACTTATACGCTGTTATCATCAATAAGAATATATATTTCAGGGACGATCCGAACTGATACTATTTTTCGTACAACGCTTTGTCCGTCACTTCTATACTCTAAAGTTATACAAAAAGATATATATATTGTCACGTCCCGAGTAGTCCGCGACATACGCGGTGGGAGTAGCTCCACCACGTTGCCAGCTAGATAAGCCGACAGGGAAGGTTATGGAAGGTAATAAGCGTGTTTATGTGAGATATATTTTATGTGGGATCGATAGAATGAGTCGGAACTATCAAGGGAAAACAATAACCAATAAAGGTAAATAAAAATACGATTTATTATTATATTCGCAAAGGAAACTTGAAATATTTTCGCTCGAAGTGGCAACAGTTTTTTCTTTACGACCAGAAGTAATCGCATTAGATCTAAAGCTGCGCCGTATTGATGTACTGATTTAGACATACATTTGATGTCTGGCAAATCTGTGGCAAGTCTGTGGCAAATCCAAAATAAAAGGTTGAGAGGTGTACATCACCTTTGGAGGAAAAGGGAGACAAGCGGCCTGGCTGAAACAACTCAAGTTGGTGGCGGGGTCAAGGGAGAGATTTCTTACTCCGCAAAACAGGCGATTCGCACAACATATGGCACTCGCCAAGACACTACACAGATTTTATTAGCGACGCAAATTTTTGTTATTGACAAAGACTCGAAATAAATAACTGACAAAATTGAAAAGACTAAAAAGACTGACCATAACTAAAAACTGCATAAACTGAATTGAAAATTGCAAAGACTGAACTGAAACTGATTAAGTTGAAATGACACTGACTGAAGTCTGAACTAACAACCGCGAAGATGAAGTTCTTACTTATAACCATTGTTTCCGTCTTCCTCTTTCTTTCGTAGTTGCGATGGTCAGCATTTTCGATGGAAACAGCTACGGACTTAACGTTTCACGGCATTCTCAGATTTATTGAGATTCGGTGAGAGGCAAATCATGCACATCCGTTGTCACGTAGCGGAAAATTTTAATTTATATAAATTGCACATGATATCTAAAAATCGCATAACATAAACCGATCTTGTACACCGAGCATGATCGGTGGGACAATAGGCGTAGTGTTATCAAATCAATTTCGAATTTTAGTACATTAGCAAAAATCAGGGGAGTTATGAGATTTTCTATAAATGGTTCTATAAAAGAAAAACGGGCTCTTGGCTTTTGCACGCGGTGTCACAGGGCACATCTCAGGTTTGCTTCGTGGATTACAGGATTACGTAAAACGAGCGTAAGCAAATCTCTCCGATATTGTCAATTTAGGTCAGCATCGGTGAAAAATTCAACGCGTTGCTTACACTATGTTTGCGTGATAATGACTCGCTAGCCGCAGGCTAGCTTATGATTTCGAAGGTTATCGCAGGCGGTGGTGTTATTGCGTGCGGTGTCAAACGCTGCGACCGGACACCTGCAGCGCTAAATGCTCGCAGGCTAATAAGGCACGCGACTTTCAAGACCTCTGAAAGGATTCTTATTTCGCTTAAAAATTGGAAGTCAGTCTGCGTAACGATACTTCCGCTATTTGATGGCAGTGATTGCGGGATCTAATTTAATTGAAATTAATAAGCTCGAAAAAGGTAAGTAAAGAGTGTGAATTATTTTACCGAAACGAAGTATCGTTAGCATCTGACATTGGTTGGATGCTAGTATACTAACTGACCCGACTACAAATAAAAGCGTCCAGGTTACCGTATCGGTCGTGTGCATGTTATACGGTTCGGGTTTCAAGGTTCACGATGAGTTTAATTTCAAAAAGTATAATTATACTGCTGGTTGGGGTGCAAAAAATCTACTAACTGTTACATTCTTACAAATACACGGTAATTAACAAGTGATATATGTGATATGGTCAGGGCTACAATCTAATATTATAATTGATTTTAGACGCAGAAATGGACCTAGTATAACAGGCGATCGTAGAAATGGGCCTAGTACACCGTGACGGAAAAAGAGCGTATGGAAAGTGGAACGAAAAGGAAAAGCAAGAAAAGGGTTTTGGGAACTTTCGGAATACCTCGGGATATAATAATAATTATATATATATATATATATATCGTGGACGATCCACTTTTCATCTCCCGTAACCAACCGCTTCAAAAATGGATCGTTTTCTTGGCGTTTCAGCAGCGCGTCACAGATGGAAATGCGAGCGGTGAAGTTGGCCTCGGTCAATTCGTGCGGCACCCAAACATTGAGGCGAGAAACGTATCCCAACTGACGCAAATGGTTTTCTACACTTGTGTGGGATATATTAAGTGTCGTAGCAATCTCTCGTACTGTTTGCGATGGATTTTTGTCGACGGTATTCTTTATTACAGCTGAATCAATCTCTGCTGGACGACCAGAACGGGACGCGTCACTAACATCAAAATCTTCAGAACGGAATTTGGCAAACCATTTTTGACACACACGTTCTGTTAAAGCATCGTCCCCATACACATTACAAATCTTCTTATGAGCTTCCGCAGCTCGTTTGCCTTTTTTGAAATAAAAAAATAAAATATGGCAAAAATGGACGTTCTTTTCTTCCATATTTGCAACCGTGCAGCACGCACAATACTCTGGTATTAACCGGTGTATGTTTACAAATAGATTAGATGGAACGTCGCTTTTCAGCTGCGCAAGCGCGTTGTGCGATAGCGCTGTGGAAAACAGATAGCAGAACGAGTAAACCTACTCCGATTAAAAACCGAACGATCTTATTTGCCAACCCAATACTTAAAACATCATGTTCATCATTTATCTTTATATTATACGTTTTAATCTTGTGCATACAATTCACACATCTCATCTTTGTTGTCTTACAATCACTTACTTTGTAATTTCCAGCACATTTATAACATGTTTCTTTTCACTTACAGTTTTTAGCAATGTGGTAGTAACCCCAGCATTTAAAACATAATTCAGGACACTTCCTCTATCCGATATTTATTTTCTCTTTTCTCAGCAACAGTTCATGGGCCATTTTGTTTACCTCC